TGGGGGGAAGGTGAGAGAAAACAATCACAGAAAGTAGATAGGTAAAAGAGGAATGGGGGAGGGAGGGAAAGGGGGAAGGGAGGAGAATAACGGTACGAAGGAATAAGAAGGAAGATGAGAAGGATTAGGAGCAGAGGAGGAAAAAATGATAAGTGAGGAAGGGGGAGGAGAAAGGGAGAGAAAGAGCGAATACCATTATAAAAGATTTAAAAAAAAATCTAAAACAGGTGCCGATTTTGTTACAAAAAAAAGATAAAGGAACTGCACAATGAAAAGAAAACATCAAAGCAAATTAAAGAAAACGAGAGCGATACACACAAAAAAGAAAGGAAAAAGAAAGGAAAGGAAACCTTAAAAACAATGATAAAGAAAACCCAATTAGAAAAGAAAAATAAGAAAGTGAAAAAAAACAAAGGAGCAAAAAGAAAAAAGAAAAAAAGAAACACCCCCAAAAAAAGAAATAATAAAAACAATGATAAACAAAACTCAAAAGAAAAAGAATAAGAAAGTGAAAAAACAACAAAAGAAGCAAAAAGAAAAAAAAAAGGAAAAAGACCCCCCCAAAAAAAGAAATAACAAAAACAATGATAAACAAAACTCAAACAGAAAAGAAGAATACGAAAGTGAAAAAAGAAGAAAAAAGAAAAAAGAAAGAAACACACGCACGCAACGTAATGGCCCGTCAGAGCCATTATGAAGCACACTGGTTCGATGCTTCACTCTGTCGACGGAGCGAAGCCTCGGAAGTTTCGAATTCCGCTAAGTGACGGGGGGGAAGGGGGGAGGGAGGGGTAAGGACAGGGTGGGGGAAGGGAAGGAGGGAGTTGAATGGGAGGGGGAGGAGAGGCGGGGAAGGGAGAGGGGGAGGGAAGGAGGGAGTTGAATGGGAGGGGGAAGGAGAGGCGGGGAAAGGAGGGAGGGAGTTGAATGGGGGGGGGGGGGGAGGAGGGGAATGAGGTGGAGAGGAGAGGGAGGGAAGGGAGGGGGGAAGGGAAGGAGGGAGTTGAATGGGGGGGGAGGAGAGGAGTGGGGAGGGAGGGGAGGGGGGGAGAGGAAGGAGAGAGACGGTGGTTTGGGGTAAGAGAAGAGGAGGGGGAGGGAAGGGGGGATAGGTAAGGGGGGGAGGGTGGTTGGCGGAGAGGGGGGAGGGTGTTTTGGATCGGGGTAAGGGAAGGAGAGGGGTGAGGGGGAAGGGGGAGGATTGATTGGGGTGGGTAAGGATGTGAGGGGGAGAGTGGCTAGGGTAGAAAGAGAGGGGACGGTGTTGGGTAAGGGAAGGGGGGAGGGGGGCTTGAGATGGGTAAGGGATGGAAAGAGGGTGCACTGAGATACAGGAAGAGGGGGGGGGGGGTAAAAAGAGAGGAGAGGAGCCCGTGTGTGTGTGTGTGTACGTCTATGTGTGTACAGTAGTTGTAAGTGATACTCTCTACTCTTCTAGCGAGAGTAATCCTGCCTTTACACCAACAAATTGACTAATTGTGACTCTCCCCTTCTCTCGTTTGGCAATTATTCTTCACGTAGCCCGTCCCTGCCTCAAAGGATGACAAAAGGATGAATAAAATAATACAAAATGACGCTATAGTTAATCCTCCCCTACAGAGATAATTAGACATTAAATAACTTAATTAACTTCGGCTGGAAACTTCATCTATTGCCTACAACCAGCCTTCCTTTGCTCTCTTCACAAACATACAACCCCTCTAGGACAAAATAACACTAATAACTAGTACATGCTTATGCGATTTCTATATGCCATTTCCTTGAATACTTTTTCATGGCAAATCACTCTACCGTGTTGATACTATGGTGTAAAAAAAGAAAAAAAGAAAGAAAGAAAGAAAAAAAATAGATAGATTTATTGAAAATAAAAGTTTCGAAATCCTACTGCACCCAGTGGCCACCTTGTCAAAGTCATTGTCATACAGATTATCACAATAATTCAAGAGAAATAAATATCACGTTTTGATACATTGGTACTAAAACAGGTTTCACTTCTATGACGTAATGCCGATAGTTTAGAGCCATAAATATAACAAGCCAGTAAGGATTTTTATGGGAACAAGTTTGATGAAGTCATTTTACTACATGTGAAAAAAGTGTAAATCATCTTCTGAAGTTTTGATCCTTATCGCAACTTTTTCCTCTCTTCCATTTTCGCGTGCTTGAGGTTTCGTGTGCGTAGTTCAGGTAAACAAACAAGCTGAAAAAATAGCAGGAAGTGAAATAAGAATTTTTTGAGATAGATGATATATAACGTTCAAAATACAACGCAGCCATACATATGTATTTTTACAATCAAATATATTGAAAAAAATGAGATGAGAGAGAGAGAGAGTGAGTGAGTGAGAGAGAGAGAGAGAGAGAGAGAGAGAGAGAGAGAGAGAGAGAGAGAGAGAGAGAGAAGAAGAGAGAGAGAGAGGAGAGAGAGAGAGAGAGAGAGAGAGAGGAGAGGGAGAGAGGAGAGAGAGAGAGAGAGAGGAGAGAGAGAAGAGAGAGAGAGAGAGAGAGAGAGAGAGAGAGAGAGGAGAGAGAGAGAGAGAGAGAGAGAGAAGGAGAGAGAGAGAGAGAAGAGGAGAGAGAGAGGAGAGAGGAGAGAGAGGAGAGAAGAGGAGAGGAAGAGAGGGAGGAAGGAGGAGGAAGAGAGAGGAAGAGAGAGAGAAGAGAGAGAGAGAGAGAGAGAGAGAGAGAGAGAGAGAGAGAGAGAGAGAGAGAGAGAGAGAGGAGAGAGAGAGAGAGAAGTGAAGAGAGTGAGAGAG